TGAGTATTGATTATAAATATTAATAAATTAATTATGGTCACGTAGTCTAATTAATACATCATAATCATCGCCTATTATTAAATTCTCTCTCTCGGGACGAGCCAAAACGTTTGTATAAAAAAAGATTTCTTAATATTTTAAGATATTAATAAAAATATCAGTTTATATTACTTAAACATTAATGAGATAATTGATTTATCCAAATCCGAGTTATTTAATTATTCATTACGATATGAAAAGTATAAAATAATGACGATAGAATGAAATTTTTATTGTAATTATAAAGTATATGATGAGATATATTATATACGTAACTGTAGAAATTTTATTTAATTACGAAGTAATCATGAAATAAAAATAATGTCAAAGTTGTAAAGAGAAAAAATAGTTAAAAAGGACTGTTTACTCTATGTACACTCTGTGGATTAAAAATTACGACAAAATAAAACACACATTCAAGCTTTTTATGCCCATTTAATTTTTATCGACAGCAATTAAAAATTATTGGAAAAATTATCACAAGTCAGCACCATCGTTTCTCATCGTTCTTACTGACATTTTCACGTCAATTGACTTATTATTATGAGCTATGAAACTTTTAGGATCTTGCTGAGTTTCGATATAGCTTTAGCAAGACATATATGTATAACAGTGAAAGATTTCATACTATAAATTATTCTATAAAATACATATAATAAATGTCGCGACAATTACGGTGTAATGTGCCGATATCAGAAAATTTTTATGACAGAATGAGTAGCTGGACATCATGTAAACTATCACTGTAAATCATCGATATAAAATATTGATCTCTTTTATTTATTGCCTTTCTCGTCTTTTCTTTCAATCTCATTAGAAAAAATTTAAAATAATTTTTCTTTATCGCGGAATGAATTTAATGAAAAGTTCCTCGCGAGTTTGCTCACGCGTTGAATGATGACGTTCATCGAAATCTACAAATCGACTTTTGCACGAATATTTCACGGTAATGTCCTCGTGAACGTGCGAGCATGTCGGTGACCATGTCGTCGACGACGAACACAAGCCGTAGCGCAAAGCCGTTTTGACGCACGCAATCCCGAAGTTTCCATTATGATACTTCCACGTGGCTCGTACGAGCTCGCGGGGACGAGCAATTCTCGTGCCTACGAGCCGCCACGTCAATCAGTCGCCTTTACGAGCGCGGGTTATCCGATTCATGGAAAAGAAATATTAGTCGTACTCTCCACGAGTTTGCTCCCGCTCAGTCAGAACGATTGGCAATCTGACAATTTTCTGACTACAAATCGTTGCGCGTCTTTATTGCTTCTGATTGCATAATGATGATTGCGTAATAAAGGTAGCACAAAGTTTTAACGTTACGACATGTTACGACCTCCAGATCGATGCGACATTTGGTCCACTTTGTGCAAATCAAATACGGCAAATCACAATTTATGCAAATCCTGGATTTTTCTTTATAGTACACGAGAACTATATTTCAGCTGAAAAGTTAATTTCCTTTCCTTTATCGGCACGCGCTTTTTGTTTTTCTTTTATTAAATTGTGTAAAAGTAATGTATGTATAAAAAAATCATATATAAAATACATGAAAGGAACGTCCGAAAAGATTAAAATAAATTAGCTAGCATTTAATTGACGCAACCAAGCATTCGATGCAGATCTTTGTTCGTTAAAAGGATATTCTTCTTTCGTGATCGGGGAAAGATTTTTACAAAAAGAGAAAAACCACTCGTTTTCTTTGACTGCCGGACTTAAACGTAGTCCGTATTCTAGAGGCGAGAAATGAGATCGGACCGAAGTCTTAAGAAGGAACTATCGGTATCAAGGTGACGATAGCGGAACAATGGGGCGAGAGAAAAGGGGGTGGTTGAGTGATCATTCGGCATCAGTCAGAAACGATTTCGCCGCGGCAGATTTCGCTCGTAGTGGCGGTTCGTAGTTAGTCGCGGGGCAAGCCAGACAAATGTTCAGTTACCTCCCTTAAAGGGGGCGATGTAGAAATGCAATGTGCGAGGTACCGTAAGTAAGAATAAGTGAAGCCAACCAAGTCGAGCGGTGGCCGCGTTCCCTCGAATCCTTCCAAACAATACGACGACGAGGTACGATGACGGTTGCGTATGTAAAATTCTCTTCTACCACTGCGTCTATCGTTGCATGGCGCGTTACAGCGCGTTACAGGTCGAATTAGGTCGTCCGCTTCGTAAGCGGCTGCCATTTTTTAGAAGACGCCTGTAATGACGTGCTACGTGGTTATAAGTCGAGCGCACAATTCGAGACAAAAGACGGAGAACGCGACACGGGATATTGCCGTCAGAATTGCGCAACGCAAAACACAAAATGCAAGAATAATTTTTGAACGTTACAAATGAACGTGGATATAATTTGAAGGCGAATAAAGCTTTGAATATTTCCATCCTTCATCCTTCTGTATGTGATGTATATAATGGTGTTTTCTCGACACGGCCTTCTTTCCCTCTCGCTCCCCGGTGAACTTCGCGTTTCTTTCTATATTTGTCAAAGACGACGAACGCCATCCTATGGAAAATTTGTAGCTGCTACTCGAAATCGGGTGAAGCAGGCATCCGTGTGATTCGAGAGTAAGGATTTTATTGGATTCCATCCTACGTACCTTTTATTGGCTCTCTATGGAACGATCACGGCGACCCCCTTTGAGGACCCAACGTATACGTAGTCGTGCATAAATGTATGTACGTATGAGACGCGAGCATAAATATATCGAGCTATCTGACTTCTCTTGTCGATCTAAACGCTGAGATGGTCCGACTTACTGGACTGTTTAATTCGACGACGGAAAGATCTTTGATGTCTTTCTCAAGTAGAAGAGAACCTCATGAGTAGCCCTCATGCAAAATATGATGTGTCTAAAGAGAATATAAATTATGAAAAATTCATACGTTCTCCCTGTGTATTTCTTTTTAGAAATCAGAATTTATTATACATGAGATAAATATTTTATATAGTAAAATTGCGTATAAAATAATTATAAGATTATAATGCATTAGATGTGTGAGTTTTAATTACACACACACACACACACACACACTACACACACACACACACACACACACACACACACATTTATAAATATATAAATATAAATATGTATATATAATATATAATATATATTATTATATAAATTTAAAGTATTTAATGCAGTTTTAAAAAAAATGGATATGTTAATTATTCAATTAAGATAATCAATTAATTCCTAATCCATTGTAACGATACTAGCGATTTTGCAGTATATCATCCGTATATGCGATATTCTAATGGCTAATTTCACGGTGGCTGATCAAATCTTTTCAAAAAACGAAAGCTCACCGCGTGTGCGATCGATCACGCTAACGACGAACGAAACTACGAAACTATAAGCTGCCTTTTCGATAATACGTGGCGAAATGCAACGTTATCGAACTTTACTTCAGAACTCGAAGCCAACTACGTCAGAAAAACACGAAGAAGAGAACCGTGCACGAGAGACGATATGTCGACAGTTGTTTTACGAAGAGATGACATTATATTTTATCAGGAGAAATAGCATATCCCTCTCCCGAGAATTTCTTTGTATAAAGTTATAATTGTACTCTCAAAAGAGCACATTTTTGCTCTACGTAAACGTAACGAGCTTGACCGAGAATCCTGACATAGGAAATACTCGAAGGAACCAATCGTCGATGTTGAATCGATTTCCGAATGATATTTTTTTTCATGCACGTCATGCGAGCAACGTACGTCGTAACATCCTACGCGACACCCTTTGTTTACGCGCGCGGTTTGCACCACGTTTCGCGTACCGGATTGTCGGATGCGGACGATCTTTCGCGTTTATCTCGCGCAAAACAATGCCCGCTTCGAGGGAAGAATTAATTGGAACGTTTGAAAACATCATCGCGACGAGCCGATTACAAAGTCACAGCTCGCGCACAGCCAAGCAATAAATATTAGAGCCTTTCGCTTCTTATTCACCCTCACGAATATTGTATCATTTTGATAAAAAAAAAAAAAAAAAAGAAAGAGAGAGAGAAAAAGGAATAAAAAGAGCTCTCCAATGTAACCGCTTTCGTGACGAGCGAGGGATGCGGGATTTGCGCCATTTGCTGGCCGCGAATTGAACAGCTATCGATATAAACGAGAAAAAAATCGTGGCTAGCCTGCGGTCGATGGGCAAGATACAAGGCAATATCGATTGAATATTAGGATCTGCGGAGCATGCGAAACCGGCGCGCACACATTAGCCTCTTTGACTTGCTAAATAGATTAATTTGAATGTTTAAATTCCGGCTTCGTGCAACTCAATTTGCGAGAAGACTCCGCATCTGGTTAATTCCTTTCCTTCGTCCCGCGGGCCACCTCACGTTTCTCCTCCATCTCTGCTTCTCTTGCTCCTTCTGCTTCGCTTCCTCACATCAGCCAACACCGAAGCCACCCCGAAGCTGGACTGTTAACTTCCTGCACATTTCGAGCGTCCGACATACGGAAACGTCCAATACACCACTCTCTATACATTCCCTCAAGCCTTCACATGATTCTTCTCTTAATTGGAGAGTATTATTTGCGCTCCACTACGCTTGATCTTTTATGGCGACTTCTCGATTGCCAACCCCCTTCAGACACGACAAAAAAAAAGATCAGAATGCTAATAGAGATTCGGATCGCGTTCGTCACTTAACATAATTCGTGGCTGGTGGCAGTGGTGAGATCGAGAAAATGGCAAAGATGCTGTAGAAATAATGAAACCGCAGTATGTCATAAATTTACAACTATCGAACCGATACTTCGTCGGTCTGCAATTAAATTCTTACAGCGCAGTCTCCAATAATAATGGTATACTTATCGTCCGCCTGATCGCTTATCGACAAATCTATGTTTAGCGCTCATCAATTGAATATAATAATTCGTTATTCTTAATTTTATAAAATAATTCTAAACAAATAAAATTCCTTTTTTTGTAATTTTTTTGTTTTTGTTATATTTGAGGTCTCCAACGTAAACATAAATTATTGAAATTCACGAAAATTCACCTACAATGTTATGTGTGATATAGTATAAAAGACACTTGAAAAATTAGAACACCTGCCAATAATAATCTACATACTGATATGCATACACGTCATAGTACTACGTATAAACATTGTTAATAAAAATGCAAAATATATTATAGCTCTAATTTCAAATTATAGACTCCATCACAAATTGCAGAATAATATTTTCATAAATCGGGACAGCACGCGAATGTAGTTCCGGCTACCAAAAATTTATACGCCTTAGACATCCATGTCAGGAATATTGCAGAGGTCAGCTCGTAGTGCAATGGAATGGGCTTCGCTCTGAAAATATCGTTTTCTTTATCATTGTAACCTTTACGCTACTCTCAATATACTTTTCATCGTGTTCTTACCATATTTCTTACCATATTTCAAGTTGTCGAGTGTATGTGTAGTATCTTAATTATAGAAAAACATAACATTTGCTCTGTAGTAGACACTTGAAAAAATATATTTCACAATCATATGTTCTACATTTGAGATATATTCAAAACAAACATTGAGAATAATTAAATGATAAAACTTTTAAATATACATTTTTTATATATTAATATGAACAGTTCAAAACTGTATAAGTTTTCTAAACTATCTAAACTTTTTTATCGTACATATCGAGTATTTATCGAGCATTTTATTTACAATATAGAAACCTTTATAACAATAATCTTCTTTCTTAACACGCTCCGTCTCTTAATTTGTAAAAATCTGTGTAAAAATTTTAACTATTAGTCATAATTTCTCAAAATTTTTAATATCTTGATGTTAGATTTGTAATAAACATACTGTAATATACATGTGTGTGTGTGGTGGGGGGGTGGGGGTGTTATACATACAGGGTGTCCGGCATCGGTAACATCACCTCTCGTGTGCAGA